ATGACACACAGGAAACGGTGTTGGTCAGACCCAAAGACAGGCGTGGGCAGTGAGGACTCTCACCTTCAGACTCACTGTCTAATCAGTCTGACAGTGAGTCTGAAGACAGAGCAACCCAACACACGTTACTATGTTCATCATCATCATCATTGTTTATTTATATAGCACTTTAAAAACACACAAGGCTGACCAAACTGCTGAACAATAGAAACATAATAGATACCATAAGAATAATAAATACGATACAATAATAAACATAGCGAAAAACAATAAAATACAAGTCAGTCAACCACTGAGTCAAAAGCCAGTGAATAAAAATGCTTTTTCAATCTGGATTTAAAAACCAGCACTGATGTCGATTGCCTAATGTGAAGAGGAAGATTATTCCAAAGCTTAGGAGCCACGATAGAGAACGCTCGGTCTCCTCTCAGTTTCAGCCGTGATTTGGGGACTGAGAGCAACAGCTGCTCAGCTGACCGGAGCGAACGAGTGGGGACATAGGGCTTCAGCAGGTGCCAGACCATTTAAAGATTTAAAAACCAATAAAAGAACTTGAAAATGAATCCTAAATTCAATTGGAAGCCAGTGCAGGGAGGCCAAGAGTGATGTTATCACTAAGCAGGACATTAAATCAAATTAATGAGACACCAAAACAAGAGCTGGAGCCCAAGACAGCCATGAAGTCACAGTGTACACAAATACACAAGAAACACAGAAACCAGCTGGGTGGATGTGGCTCGGGAACCTTCTGTTACCTTGAACGTCGGTGTTTTGAACGCTGGCTGCTCCAGTCTGCTTGTATTTGTCCAAGATTTCCCCTCATATCTTGGTTATGGTTATTTTTTCTTTTATTAAACTGATCACACTCCTGTTCATGAATAGAAAAAAACCCCATCAGTGTATTTTCACTTAAACAAGCAGCTGTTTTTTTTGCATTAAAGTTATATAAAAATGTAACAGTGCAAATTCCTCGCTGACAGTTTAACCAAAAGGCATTTCCAGTGGAAAGTAGCCGACATATTCTCAGCATAACCATGTATAATATCCACAAAACCTGAGAAGGTTGGAGAGAAGGTAGGCGAACTCTGCTGGGATCTGCGTTTAACAAAGTGTCTAAAGACGAAACAAAGAAATCTTTCTGTAAATGTTCAGATGCACAGAACTGGACTGAAAAAGAGTGAAAAAGCAGCTAACGTCCAAAAATAAGAAAACTTTGAAAGAACTCCAAAAAACCTGGAGAACTTTGCTCAAAAAACAGTTTTGTTTTTTTTTAAATTACAAGGCAATCTGACAAAATGTCATCAAATGAGACTCAAGACTTCTGCAGGTCTCTGCCATGACTCAATTTTTTTTCTTAACGGCAGAAACAATTGTCCTTTTTACTTTGTTTCTATTTCTCTTCTTGTTTTTATCTGTTGAACAACAAACAACATTCATGCTGATTCACATAATATCCTGTCTCTAATCTCTGGGATTTCCTCGTAGCTCTTTGATGCAAAGAACATCCATCAAACGCTCCAGCTGTGCTCAACATCATCGTGAACGGTGAAGGTACTCTGACGAGAAAATACTCAGTCGACCTTTTGGTTGATTTGTTAAAGAACCCCAAAATAGCTGATTACCTAACAAGGTATGCAGATAATTCACAGCTCTTTTCCTGAATAGCTGCTTTTAAAACTCTGCTGAAAGCCTTTGTCCATTTCCAGGTATCCCCACTTCTCGGCATGTGTGTCTCAAGTGTTAGGACTGCTGCATTGGAAAGACCCAGACCCTGCAGCCAAGGTGAGAGACGACAAATATGATAACCACACCAGCTGTGCTTAACTCTGTAAGTTCCCAGTATTCCCTGAAACCATCACGTGTGACACAGTTTACATCAGACGTGATGCAGCTGACGTCAACACTGACCTTCTTGTGGTAACAGAGACTTAAAAAATAATAATAAAGCAACAAAGTGGGTCGCTCTTTGACAGTAAATTCCAGTGCGGTCCGCTCCAATCTCCTCAGGCTGACTCTCTTCTAGGCTCTCCTGACTGTTCCCTTACATGTTGATGATGTGTCTTGTAAATCTGGATCCCTTTCCAGCAGGACGCTCCTCTTTTCAACAGTACCTCAGCTGCTCTCTCTCCTGACAGTCAGCTGTCCACCTCTGCATGGCCAGTCGAGCCAGCGCCGGCATTTGAGCAGAGCTCGGAGCAGAGCGGGCAGCCAGGCTGAGCACGGAGCAGAGGTTGAAGTCGCAAAACTGACATCCACGTCTTCCAGAGAGCCCAGACCTCCTGCTGCAAACAGACTGCACCAACCGTTGTCTCCCACCAAGCTGTTGTAGGACAGATCCAGTGCACGGAGTGAGGAGAGACAGCCCCGTCTGCACACGGCAGCTGCACAGAGGAAGAGGACCCATTGATAACTGATCACTTTATGCCTGTTCACTTTACTGTTTTGTTCACAATGTTTCTGATGGAGACAAAAATAACACCGAATAGTTTCATTGTTTTGTTTTATACGACAGCTACAGATGCTGGCAGCATGAAAATAAATGAAGAAATATCAATTTCCTTCAGGCTTTACTTGTCTTAATATACATTTATGCAGCCTAATGATCCACTACAGACCAAAAAAGAAAAAGTATAATGTCATGTGTGTTAGTTACCCAGATGTTGCATGTCATCAGTGGTGAGCTCGCAGCTGCAAAGACGGAGCTCGCTGACGACTGATGGCTGCAGAGCATCCAGCAGGAGCGCCAAGTGACCGCCAACCACTTTACACCAGGAAATATCCACCGTGCGCAGATAGGACACCGCCAGGGCTGATGCATAAACACAAAGTTTTCACCATTTCAGGCTAGAGGGTGGAAGAGGTATTCAGGGAGAATGACTTGAAGGAAAACTTCTATAAATAAACAAGTGTGTGTGTGTGTGTGTGTGTGTGTGTGTTACCCAGAGCAGTGAAGGACTCGTTGCTCATGTAGCAGCTGTTGAATGGCAGCCTCCTCATTTGTGTCGCAGGGAGGGCGGAGACCAGCAGGTGGACCACACCTCCCACTTCCTTATTGGATGACACATCAAGCTCGGTCAGTGCAGTGAGAGAGGCAGCACCTGGACTGAAAAACAACGAGTCACATGACTGCTGCAGCGAGCATGCGATTAGTGGTCCGGCGTGTGAGATTGGTAGCAACTGACTCAGAGCCTCTAGATCATCTCGCGTGAGGCAACACAGGTGGAGGTCGAGTCCCTCCAGGTGTGTGACGTGAGCCAGGTGAAAGGTGAGGCGGCTCAGTCCACCAGCTAGAAGCAGCTTTACAGTATATTAATCAGAACAATGCTGCTCTCTAATGTATCTTGGTAAAGTGCAGAAAAATCTAATGTTTTATATGATACAGTGTGATTTCAGTAACATATCATAATGGAGGCTTCAGCAAGTACTTACGAAGGAAATCTTTCCTCTGCTCTTCAGTTAGTTCATCAAATACCTCCCAAAACATCTGTATGGTGGGGTGGCGGTCATGATATCTCCAACCATAACTTGTGTTCTGAAAACAGTGAAAATGACTGTTATAATCATAGAGTTTGTAAGGTCAGGCATACACTATGTTGCCAAAAGTATTCCCTAACACATCCAAATCATTCAATTAATGTGTTCCAATCACTTCCATGGACACAGGTGTATTAAATCAAGCACCTAGGCATGCAGACTACTTCTACAAACATGTGTGAAAGGACGAGTCGCTCTCAGGAACTGAATGAATTCCAGCATGGTAATGTGATAGGATGCACCAGTGCAACAAGTCCAGTCATGAAATTTCCTCGCTATTAAATATTCCATAGTCAGCTGTTAGTGATATTATAACAAAGTGGAAGTAATTGGAAATGACAGCTAGTCAGCTGATGCTAAGGCTCATAGTGCACTTAAGTCACCAATATCTGCAGTCTGCTGTTGTTACAGATGTCCAAACTTCATTGGTTTCCATGGCTGAGCAGCTGCATCCCAGCCTTACACTGACAAACACAATGCAAAGCGTCAGATGGAGTGATTTAAGCATCTCAACACTGGACTCTAAAGCAGTGGAGATGTGTTTACTGGAGTGACGAATCACACTTCTCTGACTGGCAATCCGATGGATGTGTCAGGGTTTGGTGGTTGCCAGAAGTACTTGTCTGACTGCACTGTGCCAAGTGTAAAGTGTGGGCATGTGTGCACATGGCTGGGCACCAGTGCACAATACAAGGTCCATAAAGACATGGATGAGTGAGTTTGGTGTAGAAGAACTGGACTAGCCTGCACAGAGTCCTGACCTCAACCTGATAGAACATCTTTGGGATGAATTAGAGCAGCAACTGTGAGCCAGGCCTTCTCCTCCAACGTCAGTGTCTGACACCACAAATGCACCTCTGGAAGAATAGTCAAAAAATTCCCATAAACACACCTAAACCTTGTGGAAAGCTTTTCCAGAAGAGTGGAAGCAGTTATAGCTGCGAAGGGTGGGCTGACTATTATATTATACTATCATACAAAAGTCTGGATTAAGACTGAGATGTGACACAAGTTCATATTTGTGTTAAAGCAGCCGACTGAATGCTTTTGACAGTATGCAGTACACAGTTATTGTGCTACAGGACAGCTGTGAAACTACAGCCTGTGTCTGTTTGGCTGACTGTACCTGTTTGAACTTTTCCCAGTCATGCACGTCCTGGCCGACCAGCACTCCCTGCAGCTCCTCTGGTCGAAACAGCCTCACCAAATCCTGCTCACACACCAGGAAGAAGCCTCGCTTGAACTCCTGGAACAGATTCTCCACTGATGTGTTGAAGGCATGATTCACATAGGCCTCCACAAACTCCTTCCTGTTTAGGAGGGAAAATTTTGAATCAGCAAACATTTCACAAAGACAAAGGTGCTGCAGATGAACCTCACAAACACTTCATGTTTTATATTTACCTCATATTAAGACCTACTAAGGACCTGATTGTTTTTAATTATGTCCTGATACATAAAACCTGAGAGCTCACATAACTGCATATGCTCAGAATAGACAGCACACATCGATACAAATTACTGCCTTGCAGCAGCAATCTTCAGACCATCACTATGAGCTCCATACAAGGTTACACTGTTCCTGTTATTAACAGCAGGGGCACTATCAGCCACAGACTGGGAGCCAGATATGCTCTGCTGGTGCCTCATTGTTACAGAGGAAAGACTCTATAGTGAGAAACAGCTGAGGGGGAAACACTGATCTGGAAACGTCTGAGTGTTACAGAGGATATACATAGCACTGTGGTTCAGTGTCACACAATCACAAACAAATACAGCAAAGTACTAAAAAGGGTGTTGCCTCCAAAGATTGCTTTTACTGGTTTGGAGCTTAGGAGGCTTAATAACAACAGGCATGAATGAAGACAGATCAGAACAGCTGTTTGATCACAGCATCCAGTACCAACACAATCATCCACACTCAAGAGCCTGTTGGCTTCAGAGTCAGCAGCTGAATGTCTAAAATATCAAATGTCATTTTTGATCCATCAGCTACAGCATGAACTGCTTAAAGTGAGAAGCAGCCTGAAGCCCGACAGATTCATCTTTCCAGACTGAAAATATCTCAGAGTGAACCGAGTGGTGCGTTTTCAGGGTGATCTCACAAAGTCAAATCCCTTTAATGATGTTCTGTCCTGTCTTCCTCTATCAAAAGCACACAAACACTATAAAACATTGTTTCGGTGCTTTGGGGTTTTGTTTTCTACACAGAGGTATAGCACGACTAGACCCTAAAGGCAGGCTGCTCACCTACAACCAGCTCACGAACATCTTTCCAATGGAGCTCGCTGCCTTTCTCGTGGATGAGGGTCACTGTGATCCTCCGCTGGATCCCCTGCAGCAAACATAACAGGAGCTCAGGATCACAGTGAGCACAGCTAGAGCAACATTACGCTTTAAAAGAAGATATTCAACTGTGTACAAAGGAAGCAGTTACCACTGTGTGAGTAATAAGGAAACAACATGTGCACCAATCCTGTACCTGGTGCAGCAGGTAGGTACCATGACAGGGCAGGCCTCCACTGTGATCCACGATGGCTGGGATGTACCTGTGCATGGAGGGAGGAGGTGACACAACATCCCAACTTATAATATTCTTCCTGGAGATCATTTTTATGGTTCCTTTAAAGCTTGTGCGTGAATATAACACTCCAGATGGATACTCACTCTCCAGTGGGCTCCAGCTCGCTGATCTCAAACCAGACCAGCAGGTCGTACTTGCTGACACACTGACCCAGGTTGGATTTGGTGATGGTGTTCAACTTGGAGGCTGCAACTGGCACACACACACACACACACACACACACACACACACACACACACACACACACACACACACACACACACACACACACACACACACACACTCAACGTTAACAAGTGGGAATTTTTCTGGATTTAAGAGAAGGTGAATAAAAGTGAGCAGTATTTACTACATGCTTTGGGTGACTAAATGGAGGATGGATAGGTGACATGAAAACACTACTGACCCTTTATACTGAGCCAATAGCTCACACAGTTCTATTAAATCTGTCTAAAGAGCCAGTAATCACAGAGGATAGATACTGGAAGAAAACTGAAATGTTAGGAGGAACTAAATCACACATTACAACACCAGTGGCAGCACCCTGCTGTCTCACACATCGGGATCACGGTCCTGTTGAAGCGGGATAATTGCTAAAGCTCACAGTTGGATTCCTCTATACTCAATATGATGGAAAAAACTATTTTAACAAACAATTAAAAAATGAACAAGTAAAAGATCTACTATAGCCAAAAGAAGACCATTTACAGACTATAGCCCTGTCAACAAGTATTTGCCTCCTTTCTGATTTCCTATCTTATTCCATATTTGTCACACTTACACCTTTCACATCAATACATTTATAACATTAGACAACAATGTCTAATATTCAACGGCAGTTTTCAAGGGCAAAACGCTATCCAAACATACTTGGTCCTATATGAAAAAGTAATCGCACAGAAACCCGATACCTTATGTGTCACCTCTGACACCAAGAACTGCAGCAAGCGTTTGGTGCTAGAGGTCACATTTGGACTCTGGACCTCTGTGGAGTGTGCACATGATCTCATTACTGTCTAAAAATCCAAGGAGTGCTGAATCATTGAAAAATACACAGTAACAGGTGTGTAGCATCGCTAACTAGGTAGCAACAAGCCTCTAACACAGTGTGTGTATGCTAGCGGCTAATCTAGCAAACAAATGAACAGAGTGCTTTTAGCTGTTGCACAAGGATAAGATGATAAGCTGTGTGTCTTTTTTATAATCACCTGCTTCAATTTACCTTAATCCAAGGAGTGCTCAGTGTGGGTAAATCTGCCATGAGCAGATAAAGTGGATGAGTGGGACTAGGTAGGTGTGCCGAAAACAGGCAACAAAGCTGACGCTGAAGAGTGTGCTGAGAACATAGTGGCGCCGCCAGCAGGTTTCCGGCTAGCAGGAAGACTTTGCAGTAACACCTCCAACATTGGCAGTCCCATTTTGTGAAAGCCAATAAAAAAATAGCTAGGTTTCCATGTGTCATTTGTGTGGAACAATACTGCACAACAAGCTAAATAGATTTAAAAAAACGAAAAAAAAATTGTTGAACAACAGAAGATAAATGTCCTTTTTTTTCTATTTTCTTCTGGCCGGCTGTGTGGTGCGCAGCCTTAAGAGGCCAGCATTCAGACCCCAGAGTTTAACGGCCAAGTTCGAGTCTCTGACGGTCGGTCTGCTATAGCGGGGTAGGCCGAGCGAAAGACGAAGCTCCGGGCTCCTCCTTTTTCCCGCTTTTTTTTTTCATTCATATTTATTTACATTTATTTAGATATCAAGCTGCAAGTAAAAGCTCAGGGAAACACTTTTAAGCCGCCCTTTAAGGTACCCTATATATGTCCTTTCACATCTTATCACTTCATACAGTGCTATGGACCAGTCTACACCTGCTACTTTCTGCACAAGCTTTTATCACACAAGACCCGCTGTTTACAGGTAAGAAATACAGTGTCAGTAATGTTAAAGTGGCTGTGTGGAGTAGCACAACCACTGCTAATATAACACTTTTCACATGCATTTCTACATATTACAGTGTCTTTTACCGTCTTTATGGTGCTAGCTTAAAGTCATGCTGTAAATGTTAGCTTGTAGTCAAACATATTCCGACCATGTTTGGACAGAAATATTGGCTTCTATCATGACTAGTTAACAGAGACATTAACTGCCCACGCGTTACTGTAATCCGATTACTTTTTTCAAGTAACGTGACACACTGTTTACAGCAGTGTGTCATGTTGTTAAAAAAGTGAGTGATGTGAGCACAGTTCTGACATATCAGGAAGTGAACACAGTGACTGAAGCTGTGTTCCCATTCATCCTTTAATCATGACAAAACGTGAGGAATCACACTGAGGTGAGACCTTGACAACAGACAAATCAGGAGCCACAGAGTGTCAAGTGTCAGCCCACACCAATGATAAGAAAGAAATTCATTTACAGACACGTGAAAAAGCAGTTTAAGCTTCTAGATCTGGATGATTACAACACATCATTATTTATTTAAAGCAACCCAAAATGCATAAATGACTATAACCAAGTACATCCTGTGATTCAGCAGCTGATGGAACCAACTTTAGCAGCAAAAACTTGAGTTAATCATTTTTTATTAGTGTTTCACAGCCAGAGATGGGCAGTAACACGATTACTTTTTCAAGTAACGAGTAATGTAAGGGATTACTATTGCAAAAAGGTAATTAGATTACTGTTACTTTCCCATAAGCACGCTGCGTTACTGCGTTACTAAAACCGTAATTTTTTTGCCAGAGTGCCTCATGACAACAGCTGTGTGCAGATCAAGAATGGATAATCTATGGAGGAGTGCAGAGAGAGTATGACCGTGCAGCGTTTAAAGCGTGGAAGTACTGAGCTTACTTTGAGTTTGATTCCGTAAAAAGTGACAAAAACTTTTAGAAACTTTCTTTTTACAGCGAAAAAACCCTTAACTTCAGAGCAAGCACCGAGTACGCTACTACGGGATTGGAAATTCACAGAGAGACTTGCGGATTCTTCCACAAATTTCTTCTAGTCAGAATGTTGCATATAATTTAATTTTTGCTTGATGCATAAAGTAAAAAGATTCAAACTAATAAAACAAGTTTTAAAAACAGACTTTTCCATTTGATTACATTTTGTATGATGGATGATGCAGAAAAAGTAGAATTGGGCTGAAAGATCTATTGCTTTATTACCTATTCAGGTCATAAATCATGTTTTTAAAAAGTAACTAAGTAATTAATTACTTTTGAAAATAAGTAATCAGTAAAGTAAGGGGATTACTTTTTAGGGGAAGTAATCAGTAATAGTATGTACTTTTAAGTAACTTGACCAACACTGCTAGTTAAGTTACTACCATAGTTAATCCAGTTACGGGTAACATGATAGTGCTAACCCATAACCCATAACCCCGAACTCTGTAATACTGTAAATGATGAGTGATTTAAGTTAACACTAAACATTCAACAGTGTCTCCTGAACATTTATAATCAGGTGTGAGTCTGGCTGCATTGACTTTTGAAGATGCAAATTTAGCATGATGGCTGATGGTGCTGTGTAAGCTTCTACTTACCTTCTACACTGTGTTTAACACACATTTCAGAATAGCAAAGAGGAGCACTGTTGCTTCATCCTTAATACTTTAGAGGAGAACTGGACTGCAGATCAAAAGGTCCTTAATAGCTTTTTGTCCTCCCCGACCCTCAAAGCCAAACCAGCCATGAGAGCTGATGGGACAGGATTTGTAAAAGTGACATTATCAGAAAGAAAGGGGAGCAAGAATACTTGATATTTGCATTCTTTAGAGAAAAGTATTTGAAAAGGCTGTCTGCTGTTTTGGATTGATGTCGTTCTCCGGAGGCTCAAAGAAGTAGGGCAGTGTCACGGTCCTTTTGGCAGCAGAAAGCTGCTGAGTGCTGGAAAGAAGCACGGCCACACCAGCTGAAATGTCTCACTGACACAGAAGCTGTTGGCCATCCTCTGTGTTGCCACTGTCTTCACCCTGCTGTTATTAAGTGTCAATAACATACATTTCTATGGAGCTAAGCTTGATGAGCGATGCCTTGTTGGCTGACATTTATGTCTTTGAGCGTGTGAGAAGTTTAATAATTATAAAACCACATGAGTTTGACAAATGTCCTTTTAACCGTCAGCTCATAGTGAAGCACACTGAGCCACCCGGAGCTATAATATCAAAATAGAAGCTGCTACCTTTGTCAAGAGTGGCTGGATCTGAGTGCATACTACTTTCAGTTATTCAAATTTTGCTGAATTTGTTCAAAGTCCTGTCTATGTGCAGAGAGTGTCTTCCAGAGGAATGGTTCTGTGGGGATTGTGATGTTCTACATCACGAACATCAGCCACTCCACAGCAGAGAAAGTGTTATTGATGTTTTTAAAGCCATTCCTCCAACCACATGTATTATTAGAGTGGACGGTCAAAATTGCACAAGATATTTCCTCATGAGATTCACTCAATTTTGGTTTTCATATGTGTCTACAGCCAGTTAGAAAGAATCTATTTAAGTGGTTTTCTCTTTCTTGGTAGCTCGCATTCTGCCAACAGTAAAGCTTTGAAACTGCTCCTGTGGGTTGCGTAAACTTCACAGTATCAGCAGGAAAAATCGTGATTTTAATCGACATTAATAGTAAACAGCAACCTGCTATTTAGGTTTCTGTGATGGATTTGAACATAGTGTGATGGAGCATGTTTTCTGCCCTTGCTGTACAATCAGAACATGGTATTGCTTTAACAGAAGTCATCTGTGAAGGCAGTGGTGTATTATTCATGTTGTTTCTTCTTCTTTTTGGTCCAAGGACGTTATGATGTGCACCAGGCGATACACAGATGTCAAACATGGCAGCAGCAGTGCAGCCCTGATTTAAAGGACCTGGTTAGGAGTGGATATTGGCCAGCATCTGTCAACATGTCTACTCTTTACACTTTAGACCTCTTGAGCTCCTTCCTGGAACTAAAAGTATTTTCTCCATGATTCTCCAGGGAAGCTTTTGCAAAACTGTTGGAGCGTGGTACTACAGTGGCTTGCAAAAGTATTCGGCCCCCTTGAACTTTTCCACATTTTGTCACATTACAGCCACAAACATGAATCAATTTTATTGGACTTCCACGTGAAAGACCAACACAAAGTGGTGCACACGTGAGAAGTGGAAGGAAAATCATACATGATTCCAAACATTTTTTACAAATAAATAACTGCAAAGTGGGGTGTGCGTAATTATTCAGCCCCCTGACTCAATACTTTGTAGAACCACCTTTTGCTGCAGTTACAGCTGCCAGTCTTTTAGGGTCTGTCTCTACCAGCTTTGCACATCTAGAGACTGAAATCTTTGCCCATTCTTCTTTGCAAAACAGCTCCAGCTCAGTCAGATTAGATGGACAGCGTTTGTGAACAGCAGTTTCAGATCTTGCCACAGATCTGAGGGGGGCGAATACTTTTGCAAGCAACTGCAAGTGTGGGGGAAGGCTGAGTGAAGTATTTCTTTGATATTGTTTTTCAATAAGCAGATGCAAATATTTACTCCTCTGTTATGTTTCTGTACATACAGACTGGGCGTGCCAAAAGCGATGCACTGCAGCACAGCTTTCTGGATGAGGAAGAGCAGCTGTGCTGTGATGTCAGCTTCAGCTGCCCAGCATGCACACCTGAAATGTTGGCGGTTTCAGTTGATGGTAACAGAAAGCTATATCACTTTCAGCAAAAAGAAAGGTGCTCATTGTTGATGTTCTTTGTGTTTGTGTTTTTATGCACATACTTAAAAAAGCCTTCCATGGTTAGACTTTATTGTTTCTCTGATGTTGCTCTGATGACCGTGACTTTTTTGATGCCGTTTTTTTGTTGAAACCAACTGTTGTCACCCTCTGCTGCTCAGTGTGCTGGCTGTTTTCTCGGGAATCTCAACCACAAGAAAGTTTATACGAACGAAGCTAAAAAACCTGTGACAGTTTGTGAAACGTCATTAGCAGCAGTGAAATAAGTTAGTTAGTGAAATGATAGAGGCTATTTTATGCTGGAAAAATTCTTCCAGCACAAAGTGGCCCAATAAACGGAATTTTTTAATACAGAAATACATCTAATGATAAAAAGCAGAGAATTCATTGTCTGTTTTCCATTGCAGAGCTGGGATGCTCGTCTCCTCATGGAGCGCTCTCGAGCTGTGAAGTGTCCAGATATCAGCGCTCACCTGGCTGGTACCAAGAAGGTTCAGCAAGTGCTCCCCAGACCTGGAGTCCTGGACAGATTCTTCCCAGACCAGCCTCAAGCTGTGCAGCAGATCCGAGCGACATTGGCTGACCTCTACACTCTAGACATGGTGAGACAAAGGGCACGGTTTGTTCATTGTTTGGAAAATTTGGCATTAGATAATCCTCACCTGGGTGTTGCTGTTCAGTGTAAGCAATATCATTTGCATTTTATTCCTCTGATTTATTTCTCTGTGGTTGCGCTGGTCTACAGGGTCCAGAGAGGGACAAAACAGTATCAGTGGCCTTGTCAGCAGCAGAACGGTTTGTCTTGAAGTCTCAGCGAGAAGGAGGAGGTACAGCGGGCGGGGGGATAGAAGCGTCTTTAAAAATGTTGAAAACTTCTGTTTATTGCTCACCATTTGTTAAACTAGGGAAGTTTAAGCAGTGCATGTGTGGATCTGCACACACATGCAGCATTTGCTTGCATTCCATGTATGAGCTAGCCTCAGTCAAAACAGTGACGACACATACATGACTGCCTGCTGTTTTGCGTTACTGTGTATCTACTGTGATTCATGCATGCTGTACTGTGACTGAGATAATAGTGTATATGAGACACACTTGACAACAACATTGATCAGGATGTGAAAAAGCTACCAGATACAAGTTGTCAGCAGGTTATGGCTGACTAACTTGACGAATGAGTGTGTGGGCCGTCTGCTGAGGACCAAGAGCTCAGGACAGTCAGACGGGGGCGTTGCAGCAGGAGTCACCGTGCTCGACAACCCTCTGCTGTCCTGAGATGTCACACTCCTGCCTGCACATACAAACCACACTGAAGTCAGAGTTCCACCTGCACCTCCACCTGTTCTTGCAACAGCATGAAAACTGACAGAGGTGAGACAGAAGAAAAGTTCTTCTCTATTTTTATTTATTTTTTTACTAAGTTAAGGAATTAAGTTAAGAAGAGTGATTAAATAAATAGTTTCTTGCATTTTTGATTTAATGATTGTGTTTAGGATTATTTCAGAAACATGTTTAGAGGATCTTTGTAAGCCTGTATTTACTTTAAAAGAAGGGAAGCACTTCTTCATCCTACAGAAAAGGTGACACATTACAGATGAGTTCATAAAAAGTGTCTCTGTCACTCTTTCAAGGCTCTGTCACTTTTTCTTTTTGACTGGAACAGCATGTTAAAGTAGGCCTAGGCTGCCATCTTGTGGCAGTGTGTTGTTACTACAACATATGAAATTGTGTTTCTATTGGAAATATAATTCAGCACCACTGAGCCGCTCTCTCAGTTACAAACTGAACCTGTTTTGTAGACATATAAATCACTAAGTACAGTGAAGCTTTTGGTTTTGTAAAAGTGTTTCTTATTCTAAATGCATGTTGATTTTTATCAGGGTGAAGAGCAGTTAGCAGTGCATTCATGGACATCTTTAAACTATTATTTGAAGAATCTTTGGTGATGATGGCATGAACTAGAAACGCGAGCTCCAGGTGAGACTGCACAGAACAACAAGTGTCCTTAAACTGCATCAACTGATGACTTTCTCACAATTTTATTCCACTGTGTGTTTTTATCATTGAACGTTTCTGTCTTCAGGTTTCTCTCAGACCAAGATTGAATGTGATGACAAGGGTGATGGATGGTGTGACATGTGCTGCTGGCCCACAGAACCAGGTGAGTAAGCTGTCCATGTGCTCTGCAACAATGAGGACATCCAACACTCTCAGTTAAGATTAGTTTTCGTGATTGTTGCCTCAAGGCCTGAGATCATGGTGGTGGGCTTGTGATGGACACACATGGCTGAAACCTCTCCTGTAGAGGCTAAGCCCAGGCTTGAAGCCACTGGGGTGTTCGTTGGCGGGGGTGACGCGATGTCACTGGTATGCATGAAGTTATTAAACTTGATACAGTCCAATAACTCCAGCCTTACTCATCTTGTCCTTCAGATTCTTTATTTCTAGGATTTAACAGCAGCGCAGCGGTCACAAACTGTTTGCTTCCTCCCGATCAACAACACAGCTGCCACTAATTACGTGTGTCTACCTTAAATAGCTTCACAAACTCAAAATGTGACCTCTAGCACCAAACGCTTGCTGCAGTTCTTGGTGTCAGAGGTGACACACAAGGTATAGCACAGATGTCGTTATACTGCTCCAGCTGTGTATTGCTAGCTGTGGGGAGGCTTTTTATCTTGTTTACAGCATCTCTCCTGAGCAGGAAGCTCTGCCAGCCCAGCTGGGCTCTGAGCCAGACGTTATAGTATGAGTGGACCAAGATGATGGTGCTTCCCATCATACTCCACTCGCCAAATACAGTCTCTGATACACCACAGCACACTGCAACCTGGTGAGGTAACAAATCACTGACAGTGAGGCAGAGACAGTGCTGATGCATTACATGACAGTGTTGGTTTACAGTCAGAACTTAGCAAAGAGTTGCTGTACGTGTGTGTGACACATACCAGAACCTCCAGCAATCTGTAGGTCCCATTTACACAATATATGACTTCATCCATGTTCTCCACTGGAGCTTTACGAAACTCCTCCACCATGAAGAGAACAACAGGTCAACAGAGTGCCAAGCACCTGGCGGTAGAGTGTTTCAGAGTTATTATGGAATTAAAAAACAAGCAAATATACATGTTTAATTATTACTGGCCTGAACTGTTTGGGTAGAGCAAGTTTAAACTATTTAATTTAATGTTTTTGCACACTGCGATGCGGTTGTGTGTTACCTGGAGAGAGGTGAGGATTGAGGAGGAGATGATGATGAGAAGCCAGAAGTCCGTGTGGAAGAACTGGCAGATCATAAAAGCCATGTACGCTGGAAAGATCAGCAGGAAGGGACAGAGAGAAACTGCACGGAAGTGCTTCCACAAACTCCTACGGGACGGGCAGCAAAACCAGCGTATGAGAAAGCAGTCAGGTTGATAACAGGCTTTGCAAACACACATTCAGTCAGATTACATTTATTGATGTCAAAAAGACAAACTGCCTGTTTAAGAATGAAGAAAGAAGGACAGTACACCGTAGTATTACTTAACTTATGATGTTAGCATGAGTTGTACTGATGACCATAGATAATGAATTCTGTGATAATTAACTAACTGCCCATAGTTATTAATAGTTGTTTACAGAGGTGGGACCAAGTCATTGTTTTGCAAGTCTCAAGTAAGTCTCAAGTCTTTATCCTCAAGTCTCAAGTCAAGTCTCAAGTAATGTCAGGCAAGTCAGAGTCGAGTCTCAAGTCACTGGTGTAAAAGTCCGAGTAAAGTCACAAGTCTGAAATTTTGAATTTCAAGTCCTTTCGAGTCTTTAAAAAGAAAAAAACGAAAAAATAATGTTGCAGTTATGCTAAATGTAAATATTAGACCATGTAATTTTTAAATCTGTGTTTTTCTCAACACATGACAAAATAGTGAACTTAGAAAATATACACAAATTGTGAAATTGCACCTCTTTAAAATGCAGCTCAATTAAACCTAGCTCCAAGGATAATTTTCACCGACAGTTCTGAGATAAGCTGCATGTTATTCTTGGATGCGGTTGTAGGACCGGTGTCGTGCCAAAGTAGGTATCCCCGACAGAATTTGTTTCCCCTGTGCTGGGAGCATGCAGGAAGTACTGATGTTTTCATTTTGTGAAAAATTAGTATCGTTACATTACCATTCAGTTTGAGGGTTACAACAGAAAATTATATATTTATTGCTCACGGGGTATCAGATGGGATTATTTTAATAAACCATAAACATTTTGGCTAATAACTATTTTTATTCTCCTGTAACTTTATTATATAAAGAGCTAAATCCTCCAAAGTTTCAGGAGAAATGCGTCATAATAAGAAGTGTTTGTGAACGAAAAATCAGCAATGTGGGATACTGTTTGTCCGTGATTTACACAGGGGGAACAAATTGTGGCAGGACCAGCCTGATATTATTTGTATCCCACTATAACTTCGTTGTATAAAGAGCTAAGATCTCAAAAATGTCAGGAGTAGTCAGTCATTATAAGAAGTGTTTGTAAACTAAAAATCAACAATGTGGGATACTGTTTGTCCGTGATTTGGACAGTCCAGCGTGTGCTCCCGACGCAGGGGAAACAAATTCTGTCGGGGATACCTAGTTTGGCACGATAGTAACTTCAGGTCACTGCAACAAGCCCAGGTACAGTTTACCGACGGATGGGTGCAGGACCTTGAAATGCACCGTGTAGAACGAAAGACCATCGTACGTATCATAAGTTTACCAGTCTCACAAATCGTCTTCATAAATACACAATCGTTAACCGTTTATTAATAGGACCTTTAAGCTCAACGGTAATTAATTAGCAGTGGAAATAATTTCTGGTACGCGTTACAGAAATGTAGCAGTGACAACAATACTGTATGCTGTAATCGTACTGGGCAATTAGTGATACAAAAAACCTGTTTTATCCTGTGAATAAAAGTATATGTTTTTGTCAATGTACCAAAATAACAGAAGCGAAACGCAATATTGTGTCAGGACAATTCACTATTTATGCACAACAAACAAAGGAGCGACAATTTCTGTTCAGCGCCAGACTTGCTTGTAACCTATATCACCAATTATGTTATGAAAATGACGCATTAACTACAACAGCAGACTGACCTTTGTGTAAATGCTTGGAGCAGACTAACCTGTGAGCTGGAGTGTTCTGGGACGTTATATTTGGTCTTTGAATGGCTGCAATCCAGGCCACCCGTCGCCTCTTTGTTACTTCGGAAACATGGCTCGAACAATTTCTCTTCAACAACGTAATCCGATAACAACCGATCTCTTTACCCGTCGGCTTCCCGTGGCTGTCATGCGACCGGCTATTGCAGTTAATAATACAACAGCTTCTTGCCATTTTTGTGTTTCTTTTTTATCGCTGTGATTTCAATTGAAAGCCTGCGTGCGCTAGTACCTCTTGCCACGAGTTCCCAGAATCCTTTGCGGTTTTACCCCTGAATGATGTCACATTTTCAATCTCTATATAATATGCGTGTTAAATTTTATATTTGGGGTGAAATATCAAGTCTTTTCAAGTAAACCGGTTCAAGTCCAATTCAAGTCCCAGGTCATTGGTGTAAAAGTCCAAGTCAAGTCACAAGTCTTAGAACATTTTTTCAAGTCAAGTCTAAAGTCATAAAATTAATGACTCGAGTCTGACTCGAGTCCAAGTCATGTGACTCGAGTCCACACCTCTGGTTGTTTATGATCAGTAAAAAATAAAACAAACAGTGGGACACAGAGTTTTCTTAAAAATAAACACATGAAAAAAGTCTTTGGTATATTATCTTAATTGCCTCTAGATGCTCCCAGGGCTAGGACTCAGCTGTCTCCAGCATGGACTGCAGGATGGAAGCAACAACAATAAAGAGGATGATAGAGAGGAGGAAGGCTCTGTGGATGACCTGCAGCTCAATGAGGCCAGTTTGGACAGCAAGGATTAGCAAGGTGATCCCTTCAGTCATCCCCCTGCACAGAGAGGAAGCAACCTATTATGCTACAATATAGTCTTTGTGCCAGCGAGGCTTGTACTTGACGCGTGGCAGTCTTCTGGCAGTAGGTGAGCCAGTCTGAGTGTGGTGCAGCCTAGCAGTGTCAGCGTTCTTTTCAGTCACTGGGCGACAGCGTGCTAGATGAGTGGCATTCCAACTCTTTCCATCACTCAGCAAGAAGGCATTCAAGCCTTTGGCTTTTGTTACTGTTACAGGAGGGGTAAATCTGGGATGTCCTTTGGGAACATGGTGGGGTTTCCTTATCCTCACACTCTCTCCTGGTAGAAAAGAAGGTTTCCGTGCGTGACGCCTACCATCAGTGTAACGTTGCATTTTCAACTGATATTTCCGAACTGAGTGACGTGCAACGTATCCAGTGGAGACACAGCAGGAGGCAAAGGGAGTACATCCAGTATAGTACGCATCTTCCTGCCACACAGGAGTTCTTAGGGAGAGGGAAGTAGAGGGAAGTAGTTGCATGCGGTGTTGCACAGTAAACTTGAAGCCAATCCAGCACAGTCGCCTTCCATGGTTTCGACTGCTGGATTGATGTCTGGATACAGGTGCGGAGGGCACGATGAAACCGTTCGATTGCTCCGTTTGCAGCTGGGTAGTAGACAGATGTTCTGCTGTGGGAGATGCCTCTATTCTGGAGGAATGAGGTGAACATTACAGAGGTGAACTGTGCACCATTGTCAGTTATGATGTTCTCTGGGTTGCCATGACGACTAAAGACAGATGAGAGGAACTGAATGACATCATCAGTAGTAGCATAAGGTGAAAAGGCAAGCTCAGGCCATTTGGAGTAGTAGTCAGTCAATGTTATGACGTATCTACAAGCAGGTATTGCAGTATCAAAAGGCCCAACAATGTCAAGACCAAGTTTTTTCCACGGTCCATCAGGCAGTGGGACGGGTTGGAGAGGAGCAGGATTAGTATGTGCAGTTTTGTCATTGGACTGGCAAAGGAGGCATGAGGTTATGGCAGACTGAACTTGTGAGTCCATTTTTGGCCACCAGTAGAGATCTCTTAATCTTTGTTTTGTGCGCACAATGGTGACTTTCATGTGCCAGTGCAATCAGTTTAGGTCTCACTGAAAGTGGTGCAATGAGCCTCGAGCCTCTGAGAACATAATCACTTAGGGTTGAGAGTTCATTACGGATTTTGTAGTAAGGTGCAAGCGTGACATCAAGTGCTTTGATTGAGGCAGGCCAGCCACTTTGTATTTGTGAACGCAAAGCAACCAGTTCAGGGCAAGTTGAACAGGCAGAGTCAAAGTCCGCAACTGGAAGTGGGGACATGGCAGCAGAAACTTGGGCTACCATTTCATGATCTGCATCCGATGTGGGATGGGAAGAAACGGGCAGGGGCAGGCGAGAGAGACAGTCAGCTGTATAGTTCTGAGAACCTGGGCGGCAAATAACATCATAGTCAAAACACAGGAGGCGGGCAGACCAGCGGGCGATGCGCATGCCAACCCTATTAAACCCTTTGGTGCTCAGCAGCGTTGTCAGAGCTTGGTGGTCTGTCCGCAGAGTGAAACGTCGGCCCCACAAATACGTTCTCCATTTCTCTGCAGCCCACACACAAGCATAAGCTTCTTTTTCAACAGTTGAGTACTTTTGATCTGTTGCAGGCAGTGTGCGGGAAGCAAACGCCACAGGTTTTTCTGTGCCATCAGGTTGCACTTGAGCAAATACAGCACCAAGCCCATAGTCACTTGCATCAGTAGAGATCACAACACGCAAGGCAGGGTCAAACAGTGCCAGTGCAGGACTATTCACCAGGAGTTTTTTTACTTCTTCAAAGCTCGCTTGTGCACCTGAAGTCCATGTGAAAGTGTTCTTGTCGTTAGCACAGCCACACATAGGGGCTACAACAGTTGCAAAGTTTGGCAAAACTTGGAGTACCATGACACCAAGCCCAGGAAGGATCTCAAACTGAGGGAACTGAGGAGGATTAAAGGGGCAGCACAGCAGCGTTTTGGAAAATAGTGTAAAGGCTTTTCAGGAAGCTTTTAGGACGCTGTGAAAATACTGAATTTGAATAGTGGAGGCTAGAAGTAGTGAATGTATCCTTCCTCTCTATCATTAGATGGAGAGAGTGTACAAGGCCGGCATAGTGGGTCTGTGGCCACTCTTGCTTGCACTTTTGCGTGTCCGTCAGCCAGCTGTGGAGAAGAGCAAAGTTTTTACATGCAAAGAGCTGTAGTGAAAGCAGTGTTCCAAACAATGAAATGTGTCCACTCTTTGTGCTTTTCATGCAGTAATGTTTGATGTTTGAAGCTATTTCTGCTGTTGTCCCATTCCCGGTGAAATCCGCTGTCCCTCCAATCCCGATCCTCTTGCAAAGCAATCAGCATTTGTCAGACGCATCAGTCATTGGCGGTACTCAGACAGGATCCTGGATGACTACACGTCTGGGGTGGCTAAGAGAGCAATTGAAGGATGCCATGTTTACTGAATATGTGCCTAATTTTGTCAGGACATAGCTGGGTCCATTGCTTCTGCGTGCTCTATTTTCACAAGCAAAGGCCTGGCTCTTTCTCCTGGCACCTTCTCAGGTGATCTCCATGCCGTGGCTTCTTCTCAAATCAACGTCTGGACTGCCGCAAAACAGTCGACAGGATTCGAACCTGTGCGGGGAGACCCCAATGGATTTCGAGTCCATCGCCTTGACCGCTCGGCCACAACAACCACATTTGGTTTTGGAGCTACATACTTGAAAGACATACGTCTTCCAAGTCCTACGCCACACGTCTTTCAAGTAGGATGTGCACAACAACGGCCACGCTGGATTGTAAATGCGGTAGCTGCATGACTTTGGTGAGAAAGCTTGTGGTTTTGCAGTTCCGTGAGATCGGTGCAGCACAGCTGCGGTTGAAGCTAGCTGGCTGACATTAGCTTGCTTGTTTGCATGAACAGTAACACACACAGCTGATGATTTTGCCACCGCAAAGAGCTGATCAGTACATGGTTAGTAAAATGTTATCTTCATTCCAAACATTCAGCACAATATTTAAAGTGGGACTGGGTGTCTTTATGAAGAAGTAGCGTGTCCAATCCCAGTGTCATGTAAGAAGGTATATGTATGAAGTGATGAGAACTCAAGCCTGTGTGAACAGTGTCTTTCCACAGCAAACGGTAGCAGCGAGGCCGATGAAGAATGCACCTGGCCTGACATTGTAAGCCTTTGCAGAAAGAGCGGAGAACGTTTTTAGTGTAAAACAGTACGCAGCCCACATGCTTGAACAGCACTGCGAGAAGCAACTGCGATGGCCGGGAATCGAACCCGGGTCAACTGCTTGGAAGGCAGCTATGCTCGCCACTATACCACCATCGCTGTGAAAAACTGCAACATCACTGAGTCATTGTCCGGCTTATGAAGCTTTCAGGACAATTAACGAGGTGGCATTGTGATTACTCGCTTGTCAGGTTCTAAACTGGTCAAAAAGTGGATCACTAAAAAGACTAGTGCTCTCATGCAACTGCACATTTAATCTCATCAGCTAAGCTTCTTTGCTACTCAAGTGTGGCCTCTCACGCATTTAAACTCTTGTGTGATTTTTAGCACCTTCAGAGTCGCATGGTCACGCGAGTTCTTCAGGTCACAGCAGACAAGGTGCGAATAGGTGTGAATCTGTCTTGGACGAATCTGGGACAAGGACGTCTTTGGCTCCTCTCTCAAGTTATTGGACTTTGGCAAACAGGTTTCACGCTTAATTAAAAATGAGAGCAAGTGTCTGTGTCCCGAATACAAAGTGGGAGCTGGTTCCACAGAGAGGGGCCTGAAAAGTGATGGCTCTGCCTTCCATTGTACTTTTAAATCCCTCGGAAGACAGCAGTCTGAGAGCAAAGCACTCTGTTGGATGATATGGCACTGTGAGATCTTGTAGACAAAATTGGGGGTGATTATTCAAGACCTTGTGTGTGTGAGGCAAGTATTTGGATTTTATTTGGGATTTAATTGGAGCCAATGAAGAGAGAAGTCCATATGGGGGAAATCTACTCTCTCCTTCCAGTCCCTGACTGTGCTCTGGATGCAGCGTTTTGGAAAATAGTGTAAAGGCTTTTCGGGAAGCTTTTAGGACACTGTGAAAATACTCAATTTGAATAGTGGAGGCTAGAAGTAGTGAATGTATCCTTCCTCTCTATCATTAGATGGAGAGAGTGTACAAAGGCCGGCATAGTGGGTGTACCAGAGCAGGGCTGTGTGTAAAGCACAGCCAGGCAGCTGAACACTGTATTGTTCTCTATTTTGTCCTCTTGAGCGGGAGACGAGCCACCACAGCTGGCAACACCTGTCAGTGAACACATTCAGGATGAAGATGGGCCATACGTCAAGAAGCCGCCAAATGCCTTCATGCTCTATCTCAAAGAGCAGAGGCCAAAGGTCATTGCTGAACTCAACATCCCTGGAAGTGCAGCCGTAAATGCAGTGGTGGGACAGAGAGTAAGTGTGTAACTCTGCATACATTTATGCATCTGTTAAAGTCAGTTGGTTATCCTTACATTTCTTCTACGTCTCGCACCCCTCAAATTCATAGTTACTTTGGATTATACTGAGCTTTTATATAGTCATCCCCATGTCAGAAAGCTTCCGCTCAAGTCTAATGCTATGAAAGCATACAAACTGTACTTTTTTTTATTTTGCTGTGTTGCATTATGCATTTTTTAAATCTATATATACACATTGTACTGAAAACATCCTTGGAATCGCACTGGTTGCTTGCAAGTTGCCACAGTTGCTTGTAGTTTGCATGGAAGACTCCAACTTGTCTGTAAATACTTGTAAGCTCATGACAAGTGCTCATGTATGATTTTTAGTGTGAATGTAGTAACTTAACAGTTTTGGTAGTAATACAACTAATGTATGTTCGTTGTGTGTGTGTTTGTAAGGAAGCTGCAGTGGCACCTAAAAATACAGCCAAGGCTACGGAGGCTGTTGAACCAATTAAAGGTGCTGCAGTTGACGGTGAGCCAAAAGTCTTGGCTTCCAAAGCAGAACGGCCTCAACCACGCAGATTTGTATTTAGATCAGCTGGGTAATTTGCATCCTATCTAAACTACCACTATTGAACTTAACTACATTTCCTTTATTCCAAGACTCTGTGACTGCAGAGAAGATCTCAAAGGATCAGCCGGTCGCTGTTACCCACCCAACATTTTGGGAGCGGATACAAGAGCAACTGCGTCCAGAAAGAATCCGTAAGAAATCCCCAAGATCTGTATGAAAGATTTCTCAATGTGAAGATATTTCTATTTTATAATTATTTTTTTGTTTTCTTTTGCTCTGCACTTCACAGGTTGTCTCAAAACAGTCAAACTTCCCAATTCAAAGGTAACATTAAAAAAACACTGTAAGAAAAACATGCTTTATCAAAGTGGTTAAGTTTTGATCTGAAATAGTTCAATTGTTTTACAAGTTTGTAGTTGGGTTATATCTCATTGTCAGTGACGCTCAAGTAGGTGTAAATGTAGAAAAAGACAAAACATCGTGCTAGTATCAGAAAATCATGATTTTATTCTCAATGGGTCTAAACTTCGACTGCAGGTTGAGAAGGGCAACATTTTAATGACGCCGGTAAGCACTGTGTGTAGATAATGCAATCTACTGTTGTGACAGATGTTATTAAAATTATTTGAAAATATTTGTTTCTGCTTGTTTATTTAAGTGTGATTATAAATGTAAAAAAATATTTCTTTTGTAGAAAAAAATACCTTTAAGCTGAAATAATCGAACCGAATCCGAAGTGATGTAATGATTTTGAACTGTTTTTTTCCTTTCAGCTTGAGTTTTATAAGTCTCTGATGAAACGGCTATGCTATGTAAGTAATGCACATATCTCAGAAACAAAGACTGCACTAGAATACCTTTAGATTTATTGGTCAGAGTATAAAGTCATAACTGGAAGCACTCACATCCAAGTCGAAACACCTTGAAAATGGGGACATACCCGTTTTTTCAGATATTCACACAGGGCTAGGAAAGGATTGGAGAACTTTTTTCCTGGAATAAATTAAATCCTCATTAAAAATGCATTTTGTATTTTTTTTAAACATTTGTTTAATGATTGAAACTTGTGCAAAAAATTAGAAATTGGGAACGAGCCAAATGCGTTTTTCACGGCACTGTGTGTACATTAGTTAAATATTTTTTCAACCAGTGTTATCAAAAACAGCAAGAGCTGCAATTATAAATTGTTTGGAAAATGAAGATAGCTGCCAGGGTGCATACCTGCTGTGTGAATATAAGTGCAAACTTATGACCTTTGATCTTGGAACTGTAGTATAAGAATGTTTGGAATGTCATACTGTTTGTGGGGTTGTTGTTTTTTCACGTCAACCCGGTTTTCTCGAAGCAGCAAAGTGACTGACAATGGAGCACGATTAATCTACATCAGGAACATCTCGCCAGGCGAGTCCCGGGATCTCAGAGAGCTTTGAAAAAAATGGATTGTGTAAGAAACTACCTGCCTCTTCTCAACAAGGTATAAACACATCATAAATGCCAACAAGTGCATGTGTTAGAAGTCTGTGAAAGGCTGTATGAGATATGTGCTTGTGTAAGTGTAATCTTAACCATACAGAAAAATTGACAGATTAACCACCACCAAACTAAAGGACATGCACCAACCTTCATAATCCATCCTTACAAAGAGATAATGTGTCTAGATTTGGATGCTACTTATCTTGAGGAAAGCACAACTGCAAAACTATAGCGATAGTAAAGAGAGACTGCCGATAAGCTGCTCGCTGAGCATTCTTCATATGCTCATGCGCACTAGTATTTATCACATTACAGCATTAGTGCAGGGGTCATGTTGAGCATGGCTCCAGTGCATCATTGAGCCAGGATTTCTGACTTTTGAATCCAGTGAACTCCACAGTAAAGCTGTACTTAGTTCACTCTTTCCACGTGTGCTTAGCACTTATTTTCTAACATTTACAATGTGAAGGTAAAATGTTCAGAATACATTTTCTTTCTTGTGTTTCAGGTGTTTATCGAATTTCAGTCTCTTCGTGATGCTGATCGCCTTGGCGTTTGGTACAGCCTTCTAAAACGGGCCACCGGCCACAAATTGTCAAGGCTGAAAATACCACAGTGTGGATGTACCTCACTGCGTAAGTGTTTTTTAAATGGGATTTTTAAACAAATATGATTTAAATGAAAAAAAAAGATGGGTTAAGTTAATGGAAGGTCATCTGGTAAGACCTTTCTTTCGCTTTCTGTTTGTGAAACACTCGTGAATAGATTTTTCAGTTCTCCCTGGGCTGTGGATAAAGTGCAGACAAAACTGCTGATTATTGTTGTTCACAATAAATCATTGTGACACATTCCCTCAACTTTTATCCACTAACACTGTGATTCTGGTTCCACAAATCCTTTGATGCTCATTTGCCTTATTATCTCTCTGACCTCTTTTCTGGCCCCTCCAGAAATCTTTGCTCCATCAGTGGTCATTTCCTTCTGCTTGTCTCTGCCCCAGACACATGAACCAGAGCCATTACTTAAACTGCACTTTTTCAGTCTGGCATTTGATCTAACCCACTAATCATTGTTTTTCTGATGTCTATGATACCTTGGGTATCTGTAAAGGTGCTTAAAGTTCAAATAAAAGTCAAAACATTGATATTACTGGATCATTGTAAACATTAAAAATCAGGAATCCTTGAGTAAATACCAAGAGGTGTCCATTTTTCCAAATACTCACCTCAAAACCACATTTCTTTTTTTCTGCTAAACTTGGTTTCATTTTGTCTTCTCTATGTGGTCAGTAATAATAATAATATATATTTTTTAAAAAGTACCGCAAAGTTTCTCTTCAAATAAACTTTGGTTCTTGAACCTGTGTCTTGCAGAAAGCCCAATCTCAAGTTCTACGTTCTCCACGATCATGTTGACCGGTTTGCCAGAAGGAAACTACAGACAGGAGGATGTCACCAAGCTGGTGTGGCGTTACGTCCCTGATCAGACTGTTCAGACTCTGTACTACAAAATAATCGTTTTATCACTGCAGAGGAGGGTGAGGAGTAGACCCAGCAGGCTGATACAGAGAAATTTGCATTTGCAAATTGAATTCAATTTAATGATTAATATTGAATGTTTCCTCTGCATCATTTTTCCCCTCCAGGCCTTTGTGTTTTTTAACAGCTGGGATGCGTGCTGCGATTTCGCCAGGGATTACCTTAAAATCCAGTTACTGTTGAGAGTGGACGCTCAGAATCCACATTGTTTTACAAGACATGCTTCCTGGTACAAGTGAGGTATGAAAATGGAGCAATCGGGGGCTGTTAAATCAGGGGCTGCTCCTGTTTCACTCAAACTATTCAGATCCCAATCAAACAGATTTCTCCTCTAAGGAGTGAGCACAGCATCATCCTTCTCTGGGCTAATATTAATAGAATGAGAATACTTTATTGATCCCTAGGGGAATATATTGGTTACAGTACAAACAGTAACAAAGACAGATACAAGAAGTAAGGAATAGCACATATATACAATATATACAACATATAAGTCACTTATTGATAATATCTGAATAAGAAATGGAAAGCTAAAAATATGCATGAATTTCAAATCAACTATTTATTGTTACTTTGTCTGTATTTGTTCCTTTTTGCAACAGCAGCACAAAGCTGCAATGACTTTATCCACTTTCTGTTCATAGGCGACAACCCACGTCATTCCGCCACCACTTTAAATTTCCACAGAGCTCCTTGTGAAGTCAGCCGCGTGTAAACTTTAAAGACCCAGACATAGGTTATAGAGTGTTTTACTGACTATTAAGTAATGCCCTTACTTATTTTAAAACTTCAGTCGCTGCTAACCTTCAAGCTTCAGCGTTTCCCATCTCAAGTTTCCTTGTGGGCTAGCTATTCAGGAGCTTTCTGAGAACTCTCTCCACAGCTACATGTTAAGAGGAATTGAGGTCTGACAACTGTTGCGGAAAGTCACTGAGTGTTAAGGATGGTGAGTTAGTGAACCCAGACGCGGACCTCTCGTTAAGTTGAACAGTGTCTTTATTTACAGTGAAGCCAATCCACGTTATCCATAGTGCAAGTCCCTTCAGTGCTCCTCTCCCCGTCTCTCCTCGTGTGTCCACACAACTCCCGTGAATCAGTGACGTCTCTCCTTCCGTCTCGTTCGCTTCCTGGGAAAAGGCAAAACAGCCACGATTAGCCTCCCTCCGCTATCAACACTTGCTTTACCCTTGCTGAGCTCGAGTCACTACCAGGCTTGGTGCAATACTCCAGCGCTGTCGGTCACTCAGCCACACCATTAAATAGCTCTGCCAACGACGGTGGATGATTGGCAGCAGCTGGCGAGGAATCAGTCGCAGGTGGGACAGCAGGTCAGAGCGCAGCACTTCCGGCTCGGAGATCTCCCATTGCTACGCGACCGCGTAACAATCGCAGCGGAGCAGGAGAGGGAAAAACAGAGCGAGAGAGGAGAACAACCACAATACACACAGGGCGCCGGTCGGGGCACGTCAGACCTGACACTGAGACTCAAATAGCATCAATAGTTCCTGCAAACCTTGGTTATATGTTGTGTCGTTACTGTCCCGAAGTTGAATCCTTTGCCACAAGATGCAAACCAGGATCGAGTCACTTCTCACTTACAGTGGAGTCCAATATTTATCTTATTAAATGTGGTCAATAGAACATTAAAAACACTCTAAGCAGGAGGGAGAGTTATTCAGTATTTATTGTACAAACAGAGGATCAGCGATTGATGTAATCCCCTTTCATCTTCTACTCTTTTCACAGGAGGCATGTATATGAAGCATGATGAAATGGAGCACCACTGTAAGTCAGCAGTCACTAAATCTGTCTTGTAAAAGCAGCAGGCTCGGGTCTCCCTGATCTTAACGCTGGTTGTTTTTCAGCATGTTCTGGAGTCGGAGTCTCTGGAGGACCGGCTGCTGAGTGTGGGGTCTCCGAGGTGAATGTGGACCTGTCATGATGATCATGGAAGTGGTGCGTCCATTGCTGCTTTTGTCAGATTCTTGCCGCTGCCAACAGGGTACGATTTCATAAACACGTGCAACTATTTTATGTTTTACAGAGGCTGCAAGGCTTGTCATGGGTCTGCTGTTCTTTTCATATTGGAGAAACATTTTAAATGAGTCTGAAGGAGACTTTGTGGTTTTTTAACACGAGTTGAGCAAGTTTAAATATTCCATGTACAGACAGTCCCTGCGGCAGGCAATCTGAATTTGACATGCCTTTGCAAACACTGGTGAAGAAGGACTGCCTGAAATGCAGCAAGTTCTCAACCAAGTAGTAATCTTTGACCTGTTCAGCCTTTTGTCCTGGCCCATCGAGCAGGGGAGATCCCTGCAGTTTGAGGCAGCGCTAAGTTATTCTTTTAGTGTTTCTTGCCCAGTGGTTTTAATTGTTCAATCAAAACTTTGCAAAAGTATAGAAATATGTTTGCACTTATTTCCATTGCAAGTTTAAAACCCCAAGATTTTTTTCTTTGCCTTGTACTATCGTACAGGGCAGTAGAGAAACTCGCCAGGACAAATTCTTTATCGCCCTGTACAATACAAATCGTGCCTGTAGCACACCCATTGAGTACCACTGTGTTGCTCAAATATCCTTTCTGTTTTCTCAGATATGCATTGAGATGGCCGAACCTGGTGGATTAACACAGGCGATGGAGGAGCAAAGTCACCAAGGACTATTTATCTGCTTGGTAAGTGTGTCCCACAATCAGAAGTGAGAAAAAGAGGAAATTTATTTTACACTGTGTTTCTTCATTTCTTTAAGCGTCTTCATGTCTGTCTGACCTTGTGCTTTTTTCTCCTCTTCATAGGAGTAAAGCTGGACGTATTGAGTCGTGAGTATCTTTCTTTTTCGGTTTAGTGGCAGAGTCAAATATACCATACACTCCTCAAGGTCGTCTATAGTAAACAGTTCCCAAAGATGCAAAAGAGAAGAATGTGATTACATATAAGCAACTCTAGATTAGGAATTTGAAATGGAATTTCTTATTTCACATGAACATTTTGTGACAACAAACCTCTTTTCGTGGTAACCTACTGGCATCTTTGCTTTTAAATTCCGTTTGAAGAGCCTGAAACAGCGTCTGCAAGACTCTGGTGACAACAAAGTTAACCTCAAAATGAAAACCAAGAAGACCGCAGAATCGACTGATGCAGTGACCAAAGGTGACTGCCAGGCGGAGAGCCAGAGGCCGAGGAGGAGGCCAGTGACCCAGCCCGATGCTGCAGCCGCCCCTGCTGGACAGCGCCAGAGCCCAAGTGTTCTGATGACGAGACACAGGAGGGAGAGGGAGAATGATGGATGGAGCATGGCCGACATTAAAGGTACAAAGAGCTGCTTTTAAATCAGCAAAATACACCGCTCTGACAGCCCAAAACACAGTAAAGTGAATATAAAAAGAAAAGTTGTGATATTTTATGGCTCTGATCTCATATTTGTGCTCCTCACTGTGCTACAGACATTCAGCCTGGTGGTAGTAATATATTTTACATATGTGGTGGTTAAAAAAAGCTCCGTTGGTGCGATGACTATATCCCACACCATCACCAGCCTGAGATTTTGATACAAGGCAGGATGGATCCAAGATTTCTGACCCTACCATCCTAATGTCACAGCAGAAACTGAGATTCAACAGACCAGGCAGCGTTTTTATTTTACAGCGTTGCTGAGCCTGTGTGAATTGTACCCTCAGTTTTGCGTTCTTAGCTTAGAGAAGTCGAACCCAGTGTGGTCTTCTGCTGCTGTAGCTCATCTGCTTCAGTGTTGGATGTGCTGTGCGTTCAGAGATACTCTTGTGCATTGTAATAAGTGGTTGTTTGGCTTGCTCTGGCCTTCCGGTCAGCGTGAAGCAGTTATTTCATTCTCCTCTAAACTCAAAAATGCATTTCCTCCAGGGAACTGCCACTCACTGGATATTTTCTGTTTCAGACGATTTTATGTAAACCCTAGAGATGCTTCTGTGGGAAAATCCCAGCAGATCAGCAGTTTTTGAAATGCTAAGATCAGCAAACATGCCACGTTTAAGTGACTTAAATTATTTTTCTTCTTCATTCTGATGCTCAGTTTGAATTTCAGCAGGGACCATGTCTACATACCTAAATCACTAAGTTGCTGCCATGTGATTGGCTGATTAGAGAGTCACATTAATGAGCAGTCAAACAGGTGTACCTAATAAAGTGGCCGATGAAGGTTTCAGCTTTTCAAGTAAATCGAAATCATTTGTTCAATTATTATTGAGTTATAATTGAATGTTTAAATATTTTATAAACCCAGTGGCTCCTGTAGCAGATTTGTTGATGATTAACGTGTCGCTCTTTTCATTTTCAGTTGTGGGTAAACGCAGGAGGGAGCTTGTCGGACCTGAGGCAAAGCCATCTCGCTCTCAGTCTCCGTGTGTTGTAGCAGATTTCAGACTGCCTCAGTTCAACCCTAACAGCCCCATCGTCAGACACACACACTCTAAATTCAAATGTGTTGTTAATACTTGTCTAATCTTCCTGTTTCTGCTTCTCTGCAGGTCAGGAGTTTGTGGTCCCTAAATCAGGATTTTTCTGTAACATCTGCTCTGTTTTCTGCCTGAATGAGAAGACCGCCAAGGAACTCCACTGCTGCAGCCAGAAACACTACGACAACCTGCAGGTACGCACGCACATACATATACACGATTCAGCACACAAAATCACACTGTTGGCCTAACGATGTTTGTTTTCTCGCTTTTCTGTTTTTTTAGAAATATTATGAGGAACGTCGACAAAGAGCTACAAAAACTTTGTCTCAGACGTCTCCAGGCTCCGGTTCTGACTGATGGACCTGATCTACTGTATTTTTAACACATAACT